TATTAGCTTCCACCTCAAAGACAGAATCTCTCCAGACTGAATCTACACTTCCCAAGCCAGCCAGCCAAAACACCGTGAACTCCTTAGGGTGGTGCCGGTCTCATCTTCTTAACCTCCCCACGCTCCTGCTGGGGGCTAAGGAAATGCTTATCTCCCCAAGCGTGGCCTTCATCAAACCATTCCATCACACTGGGCTGGACTAGAGGGCCTCTAGGTCCCTCTCAACCCAAGGATTCTATGACCATCCCAAGGACTGTACGTGATGCGCTCTGGATGGGAAGCCTCAGCCAGGCCCTTTAATCCTAGAGCGCGCTGAGCATCTGGACAGATGGCTGCAGGCTTGAAGGCATCTGTTGGGATTGGCCCGCTTTATGGCTGCTCAGGAGTTGAATAAGAACTACCGCCGTTCTCGGCCTGGCTGATGGCTGCTCCCTCTTAAAGGGCCAGAGATCACTTTAAAGTGCATATATTTTGGGGGGGGTTAAGGTTTGAGTGCCAATAGGGGTGGTTTTGGGGGGCACTGTCTCTTTGTTGATCTCTACGCTGCCAGCCCTGCGCAGGAAGGAAACCTGCCTGGTCCTGGCGGCAGGGTGACTTACTTTCCGAATCGGGAATTGAGCTTGTTAGTGAGGAGCTGGTAGAAGTGATGATGCTCATGGAAGGACTCATACCGTAACGGGGGTATGCTCCCGTCAAAGCCGTGGTATGAGAAATCCAGGCTGCGGGGTCGATCGGCCGCACGGGCTCAGCTGGATCACGAGAGGAAGGAGAAAGGAGGAGGGAACAAAAAAAATAATGCAGAGTCAGCTAAACATTATTTCAACTTAGTTCCACCTTGAAAAAAAAAATGCTTTGCGCAAAGTTAAGAAGCTGTGCAAAATGTTCACCAGCCCGTGCTTCTGGTCTGATTGCGGAAGAGGAAAAAAGATCACCTTCTCCGTGGCCAGCTCAAAAATGCAGAATACCAACACTTTCAGAAGGTATCAACTCCTTTAAGTCAAGCTCAGCTTTGCAGCCACAATGCAGAAGCAGTTTCTCTTGCCTTGATACGGAACGTTTTCTGACTTCCCAGTTTTGCCTATTGTCTTGGGCTTCCCTAGTGGTTTCCCATCTAAGAACTAACCTGACTCAACACTCCTTAGCTTTTTCAAGATCAGCCAAGACAGGCTATGCTCTGCCTTATAGCTGCACCATAAAGGGCCATTAAAAATCCATCTGCCTTCCCCTGGCACAGTCTGCTTTCATTGCCCCAACCTGCTCAATTGCTGGCAGAGAGTACCTTCCCTTCACCTTCATATTACTTCTGATCACCCAAGGTGACCACGCAATTCATTAACCCTAAGGGTAATTTCAAAACATCTATCCCACCTCTCTATAGAAAGATTTCTGTATTTACAACACAGAAAAACTAAGCTCTGCCCCCTTATCATCGTAGAGTCTCAGAAGATTTATTTCCTTTGGTAACAGAATCAAGGTGTTCCCAAACATGAAGAATTACTCTTTCCCTATTTGCAATTTTACAAAACCTAGAAGGATGGTTGCTAAAAAATTGAGATTCCTTAATGCCAAAGACTGTAGCAAGGATCAATCACTCACCCCTGGGGATTGTGAAGTAACTCCTAGGTGTAGGATCCCAGCATTTGGCCACGGTTAGGCTGATGGGTCTGGGAAAAGAAAACCAAAGGGGGCGGGGGAGAATTTAGGCAAAAGAAAAATCAGCTTCTGTCCTGTTGGAGGTTGTCTTGCCATGTTGCTCATCAATCCCCTTAGCTCAGCCTTCCAACAAGCTAATTAAGTGACTCATCTGAAAAATAATCAACCAGGCTGATGGGGTAGAGTCAAAGAGCTAAAGAAACAGTCCTTTTTTCCCTCTGTCCCCTAAACATTTACACTGAGCAAAGAGCAGGACCAGAGTATTTCTTTTCTGCTAACCCACTTACCTGTAGTATAGAATCCCATGTATATATATATGCATATATGTATAACCTATATGCAACTTCTAGTGACCCATGGTGACCAAGAGAGTACTAAAAGGCTAGATTCCCGATTTATTGTCCTCTGCCTGGGAAGTAACTCACCCTACTGAAATGGGTCTTTACTAGGTATAAATTTCAAACCACAAGCAAATTATTGTGTGGCCTAAACTGAATAATCAAACAGCAACATTTCCCTTCCAGCCAAAACACAGGATGGCCTCAATACACCCGCAGGGCTGGCTGCGACACAGAAGGGTGGGATTTATATCCCTCCAATGTCTCCCAAGAGATTCTACCAATATGGCCCATGATCTGGGACTGTGGAAGCCACAATTCCGTCTGGAAGGCCATGGTTTGTTTTAAAGGGATACTTTATTTGAGAGAAAATATAACCTACATTAATATACATCTGGCTTTCTCAAATCTTAGGCACCCACAACAGGAAAGGGATGATGTTAGAAAGAAATATTTGCTGTAAGGTACAATAGTCCACCCAAATTTGCCAAACGGTAGGGCTGGCTCTCTCCCTGCTCAATCGCTGAACTTAGGAGTTTATTTTCACTATGAAGAGAAGAAGCATTACTTGGACAGCGCTCACTCATTCACTTACCCAGGTTTGGAGACAATTTCCCGTAAGACCCGCACAGCATCATCATTGCTCATGTTCTCGAAGTTCACCTCATTCACCTGGAACATATCACAGGGTGGGTCAGCAAGGACACAGCCCTTCCCTAATTCTTCAGGGCTTTCAGGTTACAGTGCCCATCATCCTCAAGCATGTTGGCTGGGGCTTATGGAAACCGCCATTCAGAATATAAGTGCCATGCTGGAGAAAGTGGACATGCCATGGAGGGAAACTGAGGCACAGTTACAAAATCACAGCTGCTGCCACCTTCTCAACTCTGGCCAAAACCAACCTGTAAAAGCATGTCGCCTGGTTCAATCCGTCCATCTGCCGCCACTGCCCCGCCCTTCATGATGGAGCCAATGTAAATGCCGCCATCTCCCCTGTCGTTGCTCTGTCCAACGATACTTATTCCCAGAAAGTTGTATTTTTCTGACATAGAGAAAGAGAACAATACAAATGTCACACAAGACACGACCTTCTAAAGCAGACTTTCCCTGTGCCCTCCCAGTATATGGGGTGATGATCTCCAGCATCCCAGAGTGAAAGATGACAGTTGCCCTCCAGTGCTGATCTGACACCAAATGGGCCTCACACCATCTCTTCTCACTCTCGAGATTTAAATGCCCATGAATATAGTATAGCCAATGGGGCTTACCCATGTTGAGGGTGACAGTGATGATGTTGAGGGACATGGTGGAGTCTGTAATACTGCTGAAGGAGGATGACTGGAAGACACAAAGGGAGACAGAGTGGTAAGACAGCACAGCTTCCACATCATGGCTCCCAGAGCCAGCTGCAAAACATCTCAGGTTGTCTGGGAGTGTCTGTTGTTCACCATAGGTGAACATCTGCTGCTTGCCACAAATGAGGGAGAGGAGGAACCAGACGCCACTGAGCCTTCCATAAGGCCATGAAAATGTATTCTTTCTGTATCGTTTCCCTTTGCTGTCCCTTGGCTGAGCCATCTCTGATCTATCTCAAAAAACAACCACCCAAACTTGGAATTCCAGCCTGATCCAGAAAAAGCAACGGCCAGAACATTTTAAACCTAGATCGCAACCCAGCATCTCACCCGGTCAATCTGTCGCATTTTCTGTTTCCTTCGCCTGCGTTTGTGCTTCCGAATGAGACGGGATGAAGTGCTCTGTTCTGTGGAGCTACTTAGCCTGGATAGAGAAGAAAAGAGGGCAGGATTTGAAAAAGCAGACCACAGTTCGGCCACCTTGGTTCTTTGATAGCTGTCGCTTCTGGGGTGCAAGAGGAAGATATTGTCAGTATGGTACCAGGTTTTGTAGAGATAAAAAATTACTCAGAGAGAGAGTGTGGATCAGCTCCAGCTGGTTAGTTTGATTCAATTCTGTCAGGCTTCAACAGGCAGGTCAGACTGGAACTAATCGGGCAACCTCATATGAACTCAAGAATTTCTGATTAGTCGTTTTTACTAAAGTTAGGAAGCCATCATGAAAGAATTCCAGCAATTGCTGTGTTGCAAGAACAAGCCCTATTTATAGATTTAATATTCAACGGCTTTAGCCTTTCTTTTTCACCCAATATAATCTTTTTTTTGCCAAGGAGACACAATTGGTCAGATCTACTACTGTGCTGCTGTTCTACTCGGTGAAAACTAACTCACCCAGTAGGGAAAACTAACTTACAGATCTTCACATTATGAATCCATTGAATGGAGTCAGTTTGAATCTTATATCCAAAATACTGAATTGGGGCAATTTAATTTTCCAAACTGCTCTGGGGGAAAAGGGAGATTTTGCCTGCACGAAAGCCGTTCTCAAGAATCAGATCAGTTGAGAGGCAGCCAATTTGATTCCATTCAAATTTCCAATTCAATCCAGGAAATGCATTCAGAGGTTCTACTGAATCAGCACTGAAGTTTTACATGACTTAAGGAGACAATACGCCACTAAACAAAACAGTGGGATACCCAGGTAAATTAAACTCAAGATCAGGGTTAGCCCCTTTCTGATTTAAGCCGCTTTCCTTACAGTTCCAGGCTGGAGGACGTTTGGCTGAGATGACTCACAACTCTTCACATGCCTAGAAGCACCCTGGCCAAGCCACTGGTGAATTAAAAAAAAGACAAAGTCCCCACCCCTTTATCCAGACTCGAAGCCGATATATCTAAGCTAACAGGAAGGAGCCTTTCTCTGAATTAAAGAGAGACAGAGATCAAGAAAGAAGAAAAGAAAAACTCCAATACTCACATGCAAGCAGAACAGAAACATTGCCCATTTGTTAACAGAACAAGTTCTGAACACCCCAACCCCCATCTGCCACAATAGGCCTACCCAATGCTGACTGAACAATGTCCTTTTGCAGCCCTGGACAAAAGCGTTGTTGTCTCCCCCATCCAACGCAGCCCCTCCTTGTCACTCCCCTCCTGCTGGAACGTCTCATCAGCTTATGAAAATAATCTTTGTCATACTGAAGAACATACCTGGACACATTCCATTCTCTTGCTCTGCCTGGCTGGCTGGCTGGCAGATTGGCTGGCCGTTTGCACATGCCAGCTCAAAAAGGAAAGTGGGGACCTGCCAACTGCAATGCTCATGGCTTCCAGTTTTGGAGTTTTGTGTGTATGGGGGGCAGGGTTGTTTTGCTGGTGCTGGACACTTGTTTGGTATTATAAGGCAAGTAGAGTTGAGTTGTGGGCCCAGTCTCAGCAGCCCATAATGTCCAGCTGAAGTTGACTACAACAGTCCTAGACAGAATAGACAATCAGCACAGATGATGGGAGCTGCGACCCAGCCTAGAAGAACAAGACGAGGCCAGCGTAGGAGTCTGCAATGCACACATAGACAATGGGAGAGTGGTTTTACTTCACAACCACAGATGTGAAGAGACTCTCCAGATTTCAGCAGATCAGAGCTGAACCTTTTCAAAAGGCTTTGGAGTTCAGCTCCCATCAGCCCCAGCCAGCTAACTCAATGGCAACTGTGGGAGTTGTGGTCCAGAACATTTATAGGCCCCGCTTTTGCCCAGATGTGGTCCAAGAAACACTTCTGAAAAATGTGGCTGAGAGGCTGAGGGCTTCCTTACCTGCTGGTGTTTTCCTCGTTGTCTGAGTCCACAAAGCTGCTGGATTCAAGTTCGCTGCTCATCACGGTGGATGAGCTATTGTAACCGGGGGGAGGCTCCCAGAGTCGGTCAAGCTTTGGGTGTCCATTGACGCGAGACACTGCAGAAATCCAAACAGGGTTAATGGGCAAGAGTCCCTGGGCTGAGATGCAATGACGCAGAGCTGGGAACAGGTGTAGCTGCTGCAATGGGAACAGTGCGGGGTAGTGGTTAGTGACTGGACCTCCCACCCCTGCTTGGTCAACTGAGATCTCTGGAAAGAGCGGAAGCTACTCGGCAGAGCCTAGCCACAAACTACAGTGGTACCTCGGGATACGAACTTAATCCGTTCCGTGACTCTGGTTGCAACTCGA